ATTCTTTGCATTCATCTGAAGATTACTTGCTGAATTTTGAACATATTAAGAGTCAGAATCTTGAACAGTAGCAGTTAAAATCATGTATGTCTGCTTCCCAAGTTCTACTTAATTCCAAAGGACTTCGGTGCCCCTGGGCCCCAATGTTCTTGTTTTTTTTCTCTGCCAATTCTGCTTGGGTGCTTGAATAGAGGTCATATACTTGACCTCTATATAGAATCACACATGGGTTCAAGTGGTATGTTCAGAGTATGTTCATATCAAGTTTGTGAAACAGTGTCTAAATTAAACTGTAGTTTGTGTTACTGTCAACAAGTTCACTTTCAAAAATGAGTCACACAGTCTGGTTTGTATAGACATACTATGAATGACATATGTAACAATTCTTTTACTCTATATTAAATGTATATTCAGTTAAAATCACCTAACATAAATATGCACAATATATATACAAAATACACATGTAAATTCAATGTTAAGCAATGCAATTATTTTATTTTAGCAATATATTCTGAATACTTTCAAAATTATATAGATTTCCTATTAAAGATTGTATTTAGTACAAAGTAGAAAGTATATGAATATATTTTATATTTCCAGAATTAATACAAATATTTTAAAATTGTCTACATTTTTACTAGTTAGCTACACTCGACAACAGTAAAAACAATTCAACATGTACAGTAATACGTATCTACATGTATATACCAAATCAACTCCCTATATACATGTATGTGGTACAATCTTAAAGAATATACACTGAGTTAGGGAGTCAATTTGGAAATGAGGACCTACTGGTAGTTAAATATGCAAAAATAATTTAATCTAAATATATTTTTCATTTGCATATCTACCAGCATATCTCAAACAATTATTACTATAATAGAAATATTTTTGGTATGCAAATTAGCAACATGTTTCACTGAACACATATCTGTATTATTAACAGTAATGTTTAATATTTGAAAAAGGTGTAATGCTAAAGTTTTATTTTTTTTAATTTAGTACAGTTCTAAATGCTCATGTGTTTTTATGTTTTAGTGATTTGCTTATTAGTTTGTTTGTCTTAATTAATGATTTTCATTGATTATTATAACACTGTTCAGTTATATTTGCATGTTAGCATGTTAATCACCAGTGATATCTATAATATGGCAGGCTTTAATGACTTAATTAATATTACAACATTTTTAATACTTGTATTTTTTAGCTACTGTGACAATAATCACCAGTATGGATACTCATATCAAACCCAGAAAACATGTCTGCAAGATTCTATTGCTGAATGTGAAATTACAGATTTAACCCTTTTAGTGCCAAATTGTTATTCACTCTAAATTTTTGATGAAACAGATAATATGTGACATTGCTTACAGTTTGTTTGTTAAAATTTGAAATCTTCACAATATTTATGTGAGGACAAAAATGACATGTCTGCGTCACTCACAGAGTAATGACAACTTAATTGTTAATCATTAGAATTACAGAGAATTTCTTGCACACAGCATTTTAAACACACCAATGAACAACAATTATGTTATCCCCTTCCCCTGATTGCTTATGACATCTCATCATTTGTGTAATACCGGTATTTGAATAAAGTGATGACATTTGTATAAGCAGACAATATGAAGTGGGAAGTGTAGTCACAGTCATGATACTTACCATTTTACCTGCATCACTACCCATAAAATACAACTGTCCTTCTATGGGTACATGTTTACTGACATAAGACAGAATAAACGTTATGGCCGGCAATCTAGCCATTGGACTAGACAAAATACATTCCCATAATGCAGTGTGAAATGCCATACGGTCCGTTGCTGCACATATCTGCTCTAGTAAACTGTTTGTTCTGAAATGAAAAACAATTATAGTTATTCTGTCTTGACTATATGAGTCAATAGTATATGAATTGGCAGGTGTACTGTTGCCTGGACAACCACTTATATTATGGGGCAACCAAATATCATGAAAATAATTACAAAAATCACAAGTTTCTAAAATACTTTATTTTTTGTGTGAAAAGCTTTGTAGTCATAAATTTATTCAGGTGTATTTTATTATAGGTGACAAAAGTTGACTGGTGTTTTAAAAACTTTATTAAACAACTTTATTTTCTCTTGTTAACCAGAAATCTTTTTACCTTTAACTTTTTTACTATAGTGTATATAGCCAATTTAGAAAATGAAATGTTTTATTCTACAAAATAGAACTGACCAACTTAGCTCTCAAAAGCCAATGTCCAGTTATAAGTAAAGTTTTATTATTGTGTTTTCCATATGCTACTTTACCATACTTTACAATATCTAGAAACAACTCACAATATTCATAATTTTGCATGTTGCACAATTTTGCAGGTATTATATTTCTCGCTTTCATGCTTATCTTAACTAAGATGGAAGATCTCAACAATGGCAATTAACTTAGACCCAATTATCTAACTACCATTAAAGTAGCTCAGAAAAAAAAAAGCTAACACAATATTCAATTGTAAGAGTAATCTAAGTTAGAATTATGTGAACTGGGCACAAGCAGATGTTTGCATGCCTCTAATATCAGGATTTGTGCTTGTTTGCGGAAAACATTACGAACAATAGAAGATTGAAGCTAGTAGCGAATTTCATAGCAAGTTTGGTTGAAATCTATCTGTACATTTCTCATTGAACAGAAGTATAAAGAATATCAAGTCCTGTGCTATGTACCAACGGATACTAAAAACATGTAAATAGCTAATTATTGTACACCATTTCAATTTGATAATAGATCTGAATAAATGATGTACGTTTATTGCTTCATAATTTCTTGTCAAGAGCTTTTAGTTTTAGTCTAATGTTACTATCTTGACATTTGTGATACTTTATATGATGAATTGATATATTTAGTTGGTGACCACAATTGTTCACTTGTAAATGTCATAATGTCACAAAAACAAAAGTAGGATGTAAGTCTTACCTTTCATAGTGTTCCGATCCTTCTTCCAATCCTGGAAGAATTCCCAGTAATAATCCATTTAATCCGGGTTTTAACTGCTCACCTAGTGGCATGTAATGTTCTTCATACAGATTTAATAAAACTGGTCGAACAGACATTGCAGCATTATGGAGAAGTGGAAATATCCCAGCACTATACAAGAATAAGTCCTGTGCCAATCGCTTAGACCCAATGTTATTAAAAATGATATCATATGTTTCCAAAGCTTTCAGGTGGACGCCGCTCGGTAAAGCTGGATGTGTGCATTGTGCCAGACGTTTTCCAATCAATAAACGTTTTGGGATAACAGGATACTTGGAATTGGCTTGCAGAACCTACACAATTATAAAGAATTGAACATTAAATACAAATTGTATTTTGTCATTTTTTTTCTGTATTGAATTTGAGTAAAAATCCTAATAAAGATTTATTATTATTACTCATATGGATTTATCTAGTATAGTTTACGATAAACTCTGAATTATTCTATTTACTGTATTAAAAGAACATCTCCAATAAAAGCTCATATAAACAGTTGTACAACATTTACAATACATTCAGATATTTTAAGTGAATGTACTACATTTATATTAATAGAGCAAAGACAATAAATGGACATTTGGATATTACAGTTCTAATGTCTAGTGTGATTATTTGTACAAGAATCATCAGTAATGTCAGTTATTGATATTTAGATTAATAATTTCCCACATGCTCTATATTATATTACATGAATGAATGAATAAGTAATGGGATGAGGAATCAGCAAAATACCAGTTAATGGTAGTCACTTACCTTATTCAGTTTGCCAAGAGCCGCTATTAAATCTGCCCATTCACTAGAATATTCAAAATTGCGTAAAGCCTTTTCCACAGCTGCAACATAAGCTCTGTATTTGGCATCCCCAACCCACTCACTTTCTTCCTGATGTAGACTAGCCATTAGTGCCTACAAAATAAAATATAAACTGAATGTAATAAAAGGGTACCACCAAGTACTAACAACTACATGATGAAAAGTTGCAGTTATATAGAATTAAGGCCTAAATACAATCAATGTATGAGCCATATTTTATTTTTAACCTATGCATGAGGACCATGTCTATATATGTGCTAAAATTTATTAAAAAATTAATGTAATTATGATATAAATATTTCAATTATTCAAGAGGTTTTATAGACAGTAATGATATAGCAGTTACCTTTGCATTGTACAAGCAGGTAAACATAAACAGTACACATATAGTGGTATCAAATAACAACACAAAATAAAGTGTTATAGCTGCTTATGTGTAGTATTTTTAAAGTTTGTTTTTACACACGTAACAACCACAACCAACAACAGAAAATTCATCATGTATCTCAACTGTCAAAGGAATATTTGAAAAAAATAATGGTAATACCTTTCAAATTTATAATCTAGCTCCTGCAATATATTAATATATGACTAAGTTGCAAACAATACCAGTGTACAAATATCACACAGGAATGTATGGTTTACACAGTACCGCTTAGGAGATCTGACTGAGTAGAGTTGAAATGAGAGTTATAGAGATCTGACTGAGTAGAGTTGAAATGAGAGTTATAGAGATCTGACTGAGTAGAGTTGAAATGAGAGTTATAGAGATCTGACTGAGTAGAGTTGAAATGAAAGTTATAGAGATCTGACTGAGTAGAGTTGAAATGAGAGTTATAGAGATCTGACTGAGTAGAGTTGAAATGAGAGTTATAGAGATCTGACTGAGTAGAGCTGAAATGAGGGCCTGATTTAAATAGAGACAAAGACCAAGCATGGAAATACAGAAATAAACACAGCCGGGACAATGGGACACATAAGGAAGAGGGGTATATAAATATAC